GAGCTCTGGTTTCTCCATAGTGCTGTCCTCAGTGTTAAAGTCCAGGGTTAGTGCTGATTCACAATGACAGCGCAGGTCTTCATTTTAAATTAATTTAAAGGTGTTCAACTGTTGCTGATTCTCACCTTTCAGATTGAAAACGTCTTCACCGCCTCATCCACAACACGTCACTTTGTTGATTGCAGCATTGTTGCCTATGGGTAAGACTGAGCCATTTATTCAAGACACAAACAGGATGTAAGATGCAACATAGCCAGTTTTCTTCTCGCCTTCCTAACAGTAACATTAATGGAGACGTGATGGCGACGCTCCGACTCGTCTTCAGGGTGTCTAAGATCCAGCAGTATTCAGAAAACTTTGTTCAGGACTTGCTGAGTGCAGGACTCAGCTCATCGATGCACGGGAAACCGCTGGAGGTGCCTGAGTTTGGACAGATCGACGCTGTCATCCTGCTGGGTAGTAAAGCTGTCACCAGAGTCTTTACGTTTATTAGGAGTGACGGAGATCGTAACCTGTCATTCCTCCTTCTTTGTAGGAGCCAGTGGGAAGTCGTTTTATGCTATTGGAGACAGTATGATAGGTAAGTTACGCACATTTGTGCTGCAAATTTAACAGTAATGTAAAAATGACTAAAAGTACTTACAGGAAAGTAAAGTTACTGTGAATGAAATTTACAGTGAAAACTGTAAAAATGTATTTGAACACTTTATAAATTTATAGCAGTGGAAATGTAGTTTATCATTTACATCTTTATTTGTATAAGAAACATCAAACTCTTTATCTGACTTCCATAACCTCAAAAAAGTATTTTCATTTCTTTTATTATTAGCCAAGCTAAACTCAAATGTTCACCTAATGATGTCACTTCCATCTGGAAACATCCGTTCATTCATTATCCTGTTAAATCGCGCATCGTGTTCAACAAAGTCTCAGCTTTTCAGGAGCCAAAAATCGGCCTTTGTGTTCTGAAACAGTCCATTTTTCAGCAGGTTTTCAATGTGCAAATTTATCTTTAGAAGTAAGAATTGTAACTTTGATAAGTCACCAGTTTTGCAAAAACTCTACTATGTGTTGTTGTTGTTATTTATTCATTTATTTCATGCATATTGAAAGCATTTTTTCGGCTCTGCAGCCAGCTGTCCTGACAACACCTTCACCTGTGACAGCGGAGAATGTGTCACTAAAGTAAACCCAGAGTGCGACTTCGTCCCAGACTGCGCGGATGGATCTGATGAAGCTCGCTGTGGTGAATGACTCAAACTACAGCAGACATCACAGTAGCTCCGTTATTCCTCCTGTTATTAACGAGTGTGCATCGTTACCACAGACCTGAGCAGAATGTACTGGGACATATCTGCTTTTGATCACTTACGCTAGTTTTTCTTCACCCAACCCACAGCCTGCGGGACGCGTCCTGCCATGGGGAGTCGGGTGGTGGGCGGTGAGGACGCGCGGCGAGGGGAGCTGCCGTGGCAGGTCAGCCTGAGGTTCCACGGGCGGCACATCTGCGGAGCCACCATCGTCAACGAACGCTGGCTCGTCAGTGCAGCTCACTGCTTTGAGAGGTAGCTGATTGAAATCCGTTTAAAAACAGTCGTTTGACATTTTTGGATGCTAATCAAGACAATCATTAAGCTTCAACCTTCACATGCTCAATGCCGTTGTTTGAGAGTATGGAGAGCTGGAATGTAGCTCACAGTTTACAGGTGCTTTACAGAAGCACAGCACGGACTGACTGTAGTGTTTGTATGCTTTGCTCCTTCCGCGCTAATTTTGGAGGTAAATACTGTCCGTGGTTGTCCATGCTATTCATTTTAAAGCTTTAATTATAAATTGTTTTTCAAACACACGTCTACTAGTATTTACCTCGTTAGTACATCATCATCACCATCACCATCATCATCATCACCTTTATTTATAAAACACTTTAAAACAACCACAGCTGACACAAAGTGCTGTACATGTGAACTAAATAATAAAATTACATAAGATATAAATAAAAGCAAAAATAAAGTAATTAAATAAATAAATAATTTAATTACAAGAGAAACTAAGTCTCACTGAGGTCAAAAGCCAAAGAATAAAAATGGGTTTTAAGACATGTTTTGAAAGTGGATAGTGAAGGAGCCTCTCTAACTGCAAGCTCAAAGGCCCCGCCCCCTAACCCTCATAATGTAGGGGCAAAGATAGAAAAGGCCCCGCCCCCTCGAGCAGCTGTGTGGGGATGAGGCTCAGAGAGGCGGGGCAAGACTGATAAAGATACCCAGCAGTACACAAGTAATAAAGTTATCTACCAGTGCACCATTAAATTAATTTGCATATTACTTCATCATTAATTATGATGTAGATGTTTCTGGGTACTTTTAAATACATATTTTACAATAAATCAGTATTAGGACACATCTGCACATGGGCCTGAAAATGATTTTCAGTTTTTTCTGTTTTTGATCAAATATTCTGTTCTGGCTTTTGAAGAAATGCTAGAAAAGTCCTGAAGAAACAACAATCCCATTTCATGAATATTCACCATCATTTATGATTGCCTCTTCTGGTTTTAGGGTCAATAACCCCAAAGAATGGACCGCCCTGGTTGGGGCGATGCTGGTGAGCGGTGAGGAAACAGAGTCCAGAACGACTGACATCAAGTCCATAACTGTGTCTCCAGACTACAACCCCATGACCACGGACAATGATGTAACTGTGCTGGAGCTGGAGACGCCTCTGGCGTTCAGCTCTTACGTGCAGCCTGTCTGCATGCCCTCCCCATCTCATGTTTTTGCACCTGGTCAGAGCTGCATCGTGTCCGGTTGGGGTGCCGTACACCAGTTCAGCTGTGAGTCTGCAGGAATGCACACAAAACACAACAGACGAGTCATTTAGAAAACGCTAAAAACTTGTTCTTGAAAGCTGTCGTCTTGTCCTTTAAGGTGAAATATGACAAGTGGGAGTAATCAGTGTGTCGTGTGTTCTTCTGCAGTCACGCTGCCCTCCACGCTGCAGAAAGCTGTGGTCAAAGTCATCGACTCCAAGATGTGCAATAAGTCATCTGTGTACAGAGGAGCGATCACTCCAAACATGATGTGTGCTGGATTCCTGCAGGGCAAGGTGGACTCGTGTCAGGTCAGTGGTGGAAACGGTTCACATGCAGTGGCTGTAACAGGATGAGAAAGGGGGCATCTCTATACCTATGACCTCTGACCTCTGACGGTCTGAAGATCGCTAAAAATATTCACACCATTCTCACCTTAAAATCTGAGACTATGAGCCATCTGTTCGTCTCAGCATCACCGTGTGCTGTTAATGATACCATGAGAGGCTCAGTCTGATAGAAATCCACTTCAAAATATCTGATGTTGCATAAATTATCCAACATGTTTTGGAAAAATTTATATTTCTGTACGTAAAATGTTATTTTTTTAGACAAAATATGAACTTATTGCACTTATTACATAATTGTTTCATCATTTAAAGCAATAACTGTGAATTACAGCAGCTGATATTTGACAGTTGTACACGTCGTGCCCCTTCTGTCGTGTTGTCTCCCTAATAAAGACAACATGCTCTGAGACATGTCTCCCAGCAGCTCAGTGACGTTCAAGGTTCAGAGCTGATGCTTAAAATCGTGGTGATTAGCCTAATGATGCTAATCCTGACCAATCAGGACGGATCACCTGATGCTGAATAGTTGAAAGTTACCAAAAATTACTTTTCAGAGTATCTGTCAGCTCATGTGTGTCGTGTGCAGGGGGACTCTGGAGGACCTCTGGTGTGCGAGGGGGCCCCGGGAAGATTCTTCCTGGCCGGGATAGTGAGCTGGGGTGTGGGCTGCGCTCAGGTCAACAGACCTGGGGTTTATTCCCGTGTTACCAGGCTCCGTAACTGGATTCTAAGCCAGACTGATCCCACCTCGGTTCATGGTTATGGCCAGCATGTTCCCACAGTGATGGAGTTTAATACCCCTCCAGCACTCGGGACCTCAGCTGATAACGTGTCGTCTGCAGCAGGGCTACCACTGTCTGGTAATGTCAGCCTGAAAGCTCCTTAATCTTAAGAGCTTCATCGGTTACTGAGATTCATTTATTCAATCTCTCCGTGTTTTTTCCAGCCTTGAATTGCAGTGGAAACTTTGAGTGCAGCTCCACTTCCTGCATCAGCAAGGTCAACCCGGAGTGCGACAGAGCCGCAGACTGTCCCAATGGGGCTGATGAAAGAAACTGTGGTAAACTTAAAATGCACGAAGGACGGAGCACGAGGGGTTTAAGGGTCATTCTTCTTAACTGCGTTTTGTTTTTTAAGATTGCGGCGTGCGCCCTGCACTGGGCTCCCATAGGATCGTGGGTGGAGTCACAGCTCGGAGGGGAGAGTGGCCTTGGATCGGGAGTCTTCAGTACCAGAGGCTTCACAGATGCGGTGCCACGCTCATTCACAATAGGTGGTTACTGACTGCAGCGCACTGCTTCAAAAGGTATTTCATACGTTTATATCACAACTCGTTTCACTGAAAGCTCAGGATTGATTCTAATTTTAATAACTTACATCTAAAGTGACTCTGCTCCCAATAACTGGGCCGTGAGCCTGGGATCTGTGCTGCGATCGGGGGTAGGCGCCCTGGTCGTTCCCATCCAGAGGGTAATCATCCACCCGGCCTTTAATGGCACCAACATGGACCATGATGTGGCTTTGCTGGAGCTGGCCGTCCCAGCCCCGATGTCTTACACCATCCAGTCTGTCTGTCTTCCATCACCAGTACACCGCTTCTTAAAGAGCGCAGAGTGCTACATCACAGGGTGGGGATCCATGAGAGAGGGAGGTGAGAGATGAACCCACAAAACTAAA